ACTACACTTGGAAGGCCATCATACTTGGACAACGAGGGATCATCTAAGAAGACTCTCTTGCAGCAGTAAAGCATCGTCCTGTATCCCACTTGTTATTGTGTATTAGGAAATTGAAATTATTAAAGGCAAATATTGTAAAATAAGTTTAGGATATCTAAACCAACACCTTAATCTATATTTGCCACCTTCCAATAATCAAAGAGTTGCTATAGAAGACCTTCTTATAAATATAGATTCGATGGATGAGCAGGACTTTACAGTGTTTTATTTGTATTTGAAAAGCACTTCCAAGGCTAGATTAGGATTTTTCAAAAGATTTGAATGCTATATCCCCTTCCAATCTGGATCTACCCTCTGTAAGCACCATTCACCCCTAATCTGTAATCTGCTGTTGCAAGCTGCAATCTGTGGAGGTTGGGGCACTAGCACAACAATGGTATGAGACTAAAAATATATTAGGATGTTTGACATACTGAATAAAAGAAAACACCACTAAAACAGGAGTTACTCCAAATCTAATTGGAAGGAGAAATAGTCATTGAGGCAAGTCCATGAACTACCAGTGAGCACCCTGGTCTGTACGCACTGAACCATCTGGGCCTTGGACTCTATTGGAAGGCACTTCCAGATTTCTGAAGATACCCATAATTTGAAGTTGGTATTACTGATGTAGAAACCCCACACCTGAATAAATAAACCCTCCAGCCTTTTTAGATTTAAAGTCTTTATTAGGGACCCTTAGGAAATCGTTAACACCTTTGTTTCTACTAGTTCAGTGTTTCTCAACCTTTCTAATGCCACAACCTTAGTACAGTGCGTCATGTTGTGGTGACCCCCAGCCATATTATTTTTGTGGCTACTTCACAATTGTCATTTTGCTACTGTTATGAATCGGAATGTAAATCTGATATGCAGGATGCATTTTCATTCACTGGACCAAATTTGAATACTAGTAGGGTTGGAGAGGAGGACTGATTTTGTAATTTGGGAGTTGTAGTTTCTGGGATTTATAGTTCACCTACAATTAAGAACATTCTGAACTACACCAACAGAACTGAACCAAACTTGGCACATAGAACTCCAATGACCAACAGAAAATATTGGAAGGCTTAGGTGGACATTGACCTTGAGTTTGGGAGTTGTAGTTCACGAGTACTGTGGACTCAATGACGGATCTGGACAAAACTTGTCACAAATACTCAATATGCCCAAATGTGAACACTGGTGGAGTTTGAGGAAAATAGACCTTGACATTTGGGATTGTATTTGCTGGGATTTATAGTTCACTTACAATCAAAGAGCATTCTGAACCCAACCGACGAAAGAATTGGGCCAAACTTCCCACACAGAGCCCCCAGAAAATAGTGTTTTCTGATGGTCTTTGGAGACTCCTATGACACCCCTTCGTTACCCCCTCCCCCAAGGGTTCCCGGCCCGCAGGTTGAGAAACGCTGTACTAGTTGATATAATGCTCCTTTTGAACTCCAATGTGCTGCATGGCTGATGGCTTCACCTTGTTTTTTTCAGAATTGTTTTAGATATTTCGCCTTTGACTTTTAGGTTTTGTATAACTGCATATCATTTTTGTTCATTTGTTGCAATCACATGAGCTAGGAGACAAAACAGGTTGTTTTCAGTTCACGTGTTCCACCGTTTTCCAAGAGTTGTCAGCAAAATGTCTCAAAGATGGAAATATCCATTCACCTCTTGTTCTTGGCATCTACTATATTACCTCAAGAGCAAATGGTATTTGTAGGTTCCCCTCCCCCATAGATAATTATCAGAATGACTATCTGCATAAATTATATAATGAATTCCACGAACTATTCGGTTTTTGTGCGTAGGCTAGTTAAGAAGTCATTCTATCCAGTTACAACCTATCCTATATTTTCCAGGTTTGTGATCAAGGAATAAATGTATCCATGTAATATTAAAATATTAGAACACTAATAAGTAAATACACACAAAAAACCCCTTAATACCTTTGTTTTAGTGCATGGGATGTGAAACCTTTCATTTTAATTTGAGAAACGTCCCATTCCCTGAGAATAAGGAGGCCAGTATAGGATAAGCAAGTCTGATCGCTGTTATTTCCAAAAATAAATGGTTTTCCATTCCAGGACATTCTCATTAAACACCACTTAGATTTCCATGTGTGTTTATACATTCATTCTTGAACAACTGTTTATGGGCTGGTATTTTGGAAGGATTTTCTATCAGTATATCCCAGTCTTAAAATGCTCTTCTGCATACTGAAGACTGTTTCAAGTTTGAAGCAGCATTTGCCTCCTACAAATTTCAGCAGTATTTTCATCCCTCTGCACAGATGTAAACCTATTCAAAATGCAGGACGCCAAAGGCTTTATGTTAAAGTTTTGACATTATCATGGGGCCTAGAAGCCCTGGGGTAGAGTGTGACTCACTTAAAATCACCCAATGGGTTTCCACAGACAAGAGAGGAATTGAAATCTGGTCTTCAGAGTCACAGGCCAATGCTCAAAGCAACACATCATGGTGGTTTAATGATCCCAATTTTAGATCACTTTTCTAGCACACAGCTGTTGAAAAAAATGATCAAAAATATTACATGTGAATCTCAAACAAAAGTTCTTGAGATACTTACCTCTTCCCAATTCAAGCCCAGATATGGGGACTGGGACTCTAAGCACAGGTGCCAACAACTGCCAACTCTAACACATAGGGAATTAAAAGATGGTCCTCTTTTGAAATAGCTACAGACGCCTTTGCATCCAATATGAAATATTTTTAAATATATGTAATTGTTTTAGGCATCTGGGTGTCGAAAGGAAGTTTATTCAAGAATCTTCACAGATAGAGCGATATAGGGACTGTATATTGCTAGCACAACCAGGGAAGTAAGCCAGCTTGCTCGCCCTACAAGGCCATGTGACACAAACAACAGGAATTGTCTGACCTTACATGTACTGTTGAATTGCAATGCTCAAAATTCCACTTCATTGCTTATGCTGGTCAGGGCTGCTGGGAGTTGCAGTTCAACACTTTGCTATTAATACATACATTCCCATCAGTAGTAGACGGGGATCGTGTAAAGAAAGAAGGTATGTCTTATGTTTGTTTTATTGAAATATTTTCCAGAGGCAGATGGAAACCTTAATTTAGGCTACCATGTGCACTCCCAGTTTCCCCGATTTCTCAAGTGTTTCATATTCCAGTGATATTAAATGGAATAGGAGATATCTGCAGCCAATAGAACGGTTGCTTCAACAGCATATAGCACTCCAGAGGGAAACAGTATGACATCCAAAATACTTTGCTGCCAGTATCTTCAACTCTTTTGGTGAGTTACTGAAGAAACTAACACTTGGTGCTCAAAGAATGTAATTGTCAATTTAGTCTTGCTAGGCTGCAAAGGAATGCCCATTTCTGATCAGAGTATATGACTGCACTGCTGTTCAGCCACAAAAGTTTGGATCCAGATACACACCCACAGAAGATCTCATGCAGAAGATAACAATCTGCCCTTTTCTCCCTACTATACCCATCAAAATACTGCCTTGAGAGTAGCAGGTGACTAAGGAAAATACGAGAGAAGCAAATTTTGAAAGCAGATGACTCCATCCAATTTCTTTCTCCAGTCAGCAAGACCCTCAAACCCCACAAGGGATCATTTCTAAGGTCTCTGCAAAAGTAAGAACTGGGTCAGTTGCCAACCATCCTTTCTGCAGGCGAATATCTGGATGCAACCCTATGAACCCTGCAGCTTGAACAGATAGCACAGATCACTATTAAAATACTGAGAGGGTGCAATCCAGGATGCAGCCCTCTAGTGTTCTATCATTCTTTCTGATGTGAATATATGCATATTAAGAATGTTACATTAGGCTTAGAACCTTAGCTTAGCTTCCTGTGGCAAATTTCTAACTACAATTCTCAGGCTGATAACACGTATTTGCCTAATGCAGCCTTACCCCACATGATGCTTCTCTAAATATTTTGGACAACTTCTGTAAGGTGCAAGCAAAGGGTCAAGAGATAATTGTGGTCTTACAAAATCTGACAGATTATGACCCGATAGTTTGGAAAATGTGTGATTTTTCATTGTACTGGTACACAGTTTGAAAATTGAAGCTTGATTATATAAATCCTTTTCGCAGCAGTAGCATATTTTATGATGAACAAAATGTTCTTTAGCAGGAACAGGAATGTTCAGTACCAATGAAGACTTTGCTATTCAGTTTTGATATTTTCCCCTAATTTTTCCAATTTTTAAAATATTAAATCATTCAGAATGCCTAAAAATATTTTAAAATAAAGGACAGAATTTAGTGTACTGCAAATAGCATCAAATATCAACTCTGGTGTCAGTTCAGAGATCACCTCAGAATATAGAGAGAACACTTGATCCTTCCACAGAATGGAATTGTGCTATATGCAAGCCTATGCCACAGCAACCTAATGCAGCTTTAGCATCCTTCATCAAAAATGAGAGAAGCCTCTCACAAGGATAATAAAATATCAAAATATCCAGGTGTCCCCTGGGCAACGTCCTTGCAGATGGCCAATTCTCTCACACCAGAAGCGACTTGAAGTTTCTCAAGTTGCTTCTGACACGAGAAAAAAACATCAAAAATTCCAAAATCCTGCAAAAGACAAAATTATCCACAGGGGTGGCTGAGATAGTGCCACCTTTGCTTTCTAGTGGTTCACTATACACAAACTTTGTTTCATGCACAAAATTATGGAAAAGATTGTGTATAAAAATACATAAACTTTAGGCAGTGTGTATAAAGTTTGTATAAAGCATCAAGTTTCATGTTTAGATTTGGGTCCAATCTCCAAGATATCTTATTACGTATTGCATACAGTTATTCCAGAATCCAAAACACTTCTGGCCCCAAACATTTCAAATAAGGAATATTTAACCTGTACTCCACATTAATATAGTTTTGCAAAAATAAAAATAAAAAATCAAATATGCAAGGATTCCTTTTTTTTCTGGGAATGGAGTCCACCAAAACAGAGGTCTATTTTTTTTATTAATGGAAGAGACTATTCAGCTCGGTGATGGCGTCAGTATGTTCAGAGATGAAACATCTGCACCACCTAGCTGTCATATGTTTAACACACAGTTTTTGTATCTTAACATACATTCATTTTCAACTTCAAATTCATGGAGGCAGTTGTGTCAGTGTACACAGAGTGAGAAACATCCCAGGATATACCATTTGAGCAACTTCATGATTTATCCCGAAACTACTCAGTGCACAAGCAACCCAGCCTCTGTACAGGTCTGTCACATGCAAGCCATCCAAAAATACAAAAATAAAAACAAATAAACCCCTTAAGTTTAAGTCACAACTGAGTATACTCCTTTCAACTGTATTTGTTAACCAAATGGCACATCGAGGAATTTCTAAAATAACATTTTAAACAATCTGGTTAAAAAAGCATTGGGCTAAATATTTCTAGACTTTAAAAAACCCCAAGTTCTTAACACTCAGATACTATACAACTTATAGGACCTTCAGGTAGGTATACAAGGTTGTCAACCAAGATATTTACATAATGAGTAACACAAAGCAAAATAAATCAGATTCTAGTGACATAAGGACTGAATTACAAGTTTATGAATTTAAAATTAAGGCTCTTTGTAGAGAAACTTTTCATTTTAAATAGTATTTAACTTTGGAAGTGTCAGACTTGCATATTCGTGACAATTCCACTGCAAACAGAGCAGAATTATGTTCAGTATTATGTAACAAAGCATTACGTTGAATAATTACATTGCTACTTCTATGTCTGAGCATGCTTTTGTACATTGTAGTTTGGTACAAACTTTCACGTAACACAATGAGTATGGCCACCCAAGTGCCATACTTTTAGAAATCCCAAATCAAAAGCAATTTTGCACTTCAAGCAAACTAGAAATTTTTTAATATGCTCCTGAATGTGGATAGCAACTATTTGCTCAAGTATTGCAGATAACAATGTTTTCCAGCAAAAGACTGAAGCATTTATATTATGCTTCAGTTTCTTCGAATCATACAGAAAAAAGATAAAGAGTTATTTCCATGAGTATGTCTTCTGATGGCTCTGTGGTTACTGAAGAAAACACTGTCTTCTTTGATGTAATGTTTGGTCCACAGTCAAAACGCCAGGTTTTAATGTTCAACTAAAAGCATCTTTAATGTCATTTTTCTTAAAATCTGTGATGTAAAACACTAAAGACAAAAAAAATGGAATGGTAATCTAAGAATCAAATTGTTAAACAATTCCTCCTAATATACCAAAATTTGAAGTCAGAATTGTCTTTATTGACTTTATTTTAAACTTTGTACATAAAGAAAACATGTTCATATCCATCATGAACACAAAACTTAAAAAGGTGTAACTAGAAGATATTTGTGTCCTTCACCAAAGCAAATGCTGTGCTAAAGGTTCCAAACAGTTTCCATTTTCAAAATAAATATTCTTTCCCCCCCGCCAATGTCTATATTCCAGTCTTCAGAATAATCACTGGAAATTGAAACCTATTTTGAAATCACACTTTTTAAACAGAGTCCCAGCTCACTGTGTTTGGTAACTTGCCATACCATATCCAGCCTGATTAGGTATTACAGGAGCCGCTTGTCCTTGGGCGGGTTGAGCACCAAATCCACTCATCCAGGCTGCAGATGGCGTCTGACTTTAGTGTGAGAGTGAGAAGAGGAAAGAAAGGCAACAAATGATTTATCAGGAAAACCTATCAGCAATCAAATTAAAAGATATATTTCACCTACAATTTGGAGACACTAGTCTCCACACCAAATTCTGTTCACTTAATCTTCAGGATGCCTCACAAAACTTCTAATATACTGAATGAGTTCAGACACTGTATTCTCACACCTATCTATAGCAAGGCAATACAGTAGCAGATACACATCCATTATGTATGCTGTTTCCAACAACAATGACACTACAACAGCTTGGAAAGGTAAACCAATGCATCGGTGAACTTGTTAGATGTGAATTTTGATCATTCATTTAATAAATTTTGAAATGGTATTTCAGGAAATTTCCCTCAAAACTTAGTTTATAGCCTTAACAGTCATGGTAAGATGTTTCTTTTTTCCAGATTATTAAAAAAAAGTACTGGATGATAACAGAAAATAAAATAATTTAGTAATCCATACAGTCAGAATTTGTCTAAATATGAACTACAAAGGTTGCCTTCATAGATGACATAGACAAGCAGAATGTGTTCCTGTTGATTCTGACAGACATCTTCAAGGCTTTTAGTGCCATCAACGATGGTAGCCTTCTGGACCACATTATAAAAAAGGGACTTGGAACACTGTTTTACAACAGCTCTGTTCCTATCAGGTGAAGTTTCTAGACCAGAGTTCCCCAAACAGGGGTGTGTGAGCTGGATGCGGCCCTCCTAAGTCATTTCCCTGGCCCCACCCTAAACTTTAGACTTAGGGATACCCTAAAGCTGAAACCACTTGAAGGCACACAACAACAACAATCCTAATTAACGACGATCTCATCAGCCAAAAGTAGGCCCACACTTCCTATTGAAATACTGGCAAGCTTATGTTGGTTAAAATTGTTCTTCATTTTAAATATTGTTTTGCTCTTTCATGTGTTTTTGCACTGTGCATTTGTCTGTGTTTTTTTTTCAAACTATAGTCCGTCCCCCCAACAGACTGAGGGACTGCAAACCAGCCCCTCTGCTTTAAAAGTCTGAGGACACATGTCTAGACCATCTTTAAAGGTAGCCCTACATGGGACACAATGCAGTACCCAAACCTGGATATTATCAAAACCGTGAACCTAGCCCAATAGGAATTCAGCCCTATCTAGAAGCAGCTTCACATTTCCGTCAAGATAAGCAGATTTTTCAACCTATATAACTTCCATCATTTCTGGAAAAAGTTTCAAACAAAATAATCAAATGTGAATCACAAAATCCTCAGCATCATCTCTTCCAAACAACCACGCAAACTCACTATCTCCATCCTATTCCTAAGACAAAATGCAGAAGGATAAGACGGTTATCCTTTTAAAGCCAGAGAAGTTCAGCAGAAATATCAGGGCCATACTCTCCACTTCTGTCGCACCCATCAAGGCAGATCCCTTCTCCAACTGGCCAGGAGCTGAACTGAAATGGATTTAAACAGTATCTTCCAAGATGGATTATTTTTGTTATTTCTGATTATTTTGAGCATAACATAGAACATATCGGAAGGAATAAACTCTTAAGTGTATTAATATACTTGAACATGTTTGTAACTGCTGCATATTTAATCATTCTGAATCCATTTAATTATTTCAATGACAAAAAAACCCAAAGATTTCTCTACAATATTGGAACAAATTAACACATTTTAGAGATTTCTCTCATACATATAAAAAGTGTATAACAGATTTTATATTTAGTTAGGAATAGAGAAAGCCAGTAACAATTGATAACAAAAAGGGAAACAAGTTTGCACATTTCAAAATTAAAGACTATAAACATATGAACTCCATTTACATTTGTTCCAAAATATTATCAAAAAAGTAATAGTCACGACAGTGACTAGCCTCGAATCAAAAACTTAAAAAGTATTCAGCTTCACTAGAAAAAAGTGATGTCAAATAAGACACTGGCAAAGACTGTGTTCCTGCATGTGTCTTCAAGTCACCTGTTGTCTTCTGAGAATCACACAAATTTCATAGGTTTTTCTGAGGCAAGGAATACTCAGAGACAGTACTGAAATACTGCCTACAGTACCTGATATTTGCTAGTTGTCCCTCATCCAAGTACGAATTGAACTGACACAAAGTAGTTTCCAAGATCAGATGAGATCTGGGTGCCTGTAGGGTGTTTAGGTTGTCCCAGTAAAGATTACAAAACAGAATTTATACCCTTGGAAAACTGCAAATGCAAATACAAATATGAAATGGAAAAACTTACTCCACACCAAATCCTTGCTGATTCCATGCTTGTCCATACATTCCATAAGATGGGACTTGCCACCCATTGGTCACGTATTGCCCGTACTGTTGTGGATTCCCATACACTTGACTCCACTGTCCCCACTGACTGTAATCTACCTGGTGGATGATAGAAAGATTCTATTTCAGAAAAAAAAATATCTAGCACTTAGCACTAGTCATCATCTGTTTATCAGAAAGAGGAACAGAAATTTAAGACTTACTGCATTCATCCCCAGAATCCACACACTGATTTCACTCACTTGCGGTCAAATGCGGTCAAAATACCTAGGGGAAACCCTTTATCACATTAACACTCCAATTACCTGTTGGAAGTTTTTTGTCATATCAGGTGATTCTTTACCCCAATAGCATTTAACAACGTGCCCTTCAATTGTAGTGCCATTGACTGAAACAATAGCATGTGCTGCACTTTCATGAGTTGAAAACCTAAAAAGACATTAAGAGAGCTTTTGTTACCATAAGTAGAGTGAAATGTCCTCTGGCATTATCTTTACAAAGTTTACAAACAATATGCTAGCAGTCAAAGAGAAAACTGCCTTAAATCACAAATATACTGGTGTTGCTTTGCTTGTCCTCCTTTCTGTTTACAGCCTTTGGCATGGATCAAGTAGGACTAGGCAACATTCAAACCTTCCATCTCCAGGGATGTAACTTAGTGATATTCAAAAACTTCTAATATAAAGTCGTAACTTAAGGATTCAAATATTCAAAAACTTCTAATACAAAGATGTGTTAAATAATGGAAAAAACAAAAAAGTCTATATACACAACTTTCATTGTCATAGCATTTTTTTTGCTGAATTCTAATCACACACCTTTATTCTAGATTCAAAAAAAGTAACCCCCCTCCCAAATTCTTTAGGCATAAATGATTTTAGACAGTCTTTTCCATATATTATTTTACTATATTATGGGTCCAAACATGTGATATTAATTGGCCTACCGCACAAATGAATAGCCTTTTCCTGGAAAAGCTCTTGTTTCCAAAATTTGTCCAAAAGGAGAAAACGTCTGTCTCATCAACTGATCTAAAAATGGTAGAATTTTCTGTTAGTTGCATTTGTGCTAAATGGCTTCAGTAACTGTGCTGGAAGTCTAAACATGATTATTACCTGTTAATCCAGAAGCAATTCCTCCACAATACACTGTGCAGTTTTTGGGGCTTGACTGATTTACGACATCTTCAAATCTCAGTTGTTTTGTGGTGCCTGGAAGAAAAAGACTTTGTAAATTATTGCTATTAAGTTATTTGCAGAAACTGCAAGTATGGGAATATTAGCATTCTTTTAGGAATACTAGCACTTACTTCTATGGAGAAATGGCCTAGAATAATACAGTGTTTTATAGTCTAGTGCTGAGGTGGGAAGTGCCTGGAATAAAATTTTACTAAAGTCAAAAAAATTATCATGCGTCTTATATCACGATGTGAAGGGACCTTAACAACTGCATAATTTCTGTAAGTAGCTAGTAATGTATTATATCGTCTATATCCATTATAATGGTGTATAGTCACTTTTTTTTAAAAGACACTGGCAAAGATACAGTGAGGAAAACTGTAATTAACAGAATCCGTCATTTCAGTACCTCTGATATAATAAATTTTGTAATTGACGCTTCTGTTTTTATGTTTTATGTTTGTTTTATGGCTGATATAATAGGCTGTTTACATTTTATTCTAGCTAGTTAAGTTATAATTTGTTTCTATGTGCTGTGGAGTGTAATTTTTGTTATTATGTGTCTATTAGTTGTTATGTTCAGCGAATGAATGTTTGCCTTTTTGTGACTGGAATCCATCCTGAGTCCCTTCAGGGAGACAGGGTGGAATATAAATCAAGTTTTATTATTAAGGTAAAGGTGAAGGTTTCCCCCTGACATTAAGCCCAGTCATGTCTGACTCTGGGGGTTGGTGCTCATCTTCATTTCTAAGCCGAAGAGTCAGCGTTGTCTGTAGACACCTCCAAGGTCATGTGGCCGGCATGACTGCAGGGAGCGCAGTTAACTTCCTGTCGGAGCAGTACCTATTGATCTACTCACATTTGCATGTTTTCGAACTGCTAGGTTGGCAGAAGCTGGGGCTAACAGCAGGAGCTCATGCCCTTCTCCAAATTCAAACCTGCAACCTTTCAATCAGGAAGTTCAGCAGCTCAGTGCTTTAACCCACTGTGCCACCAATGGTTAAATTCTATCCATGTTTATTTAGATTTTTAAAACTACATTTCCATGTGATGATGCCACATGAGCAACATCTACTATTATTATTCAATTTTGTAAAATATCAGTTTTAGATGGACCCACCAACTCAGCTTCTCCTGAGATTATTACATTATAACTTCAATTATTCTTGTGACAAATAAGCAAAACCTCCAACAATATCTCCTGTGCTGAAACTTTCCCAACCTCAATATAGATTCTTTCAACTGAAAAAAGAACAAAAAATGCTTGCTTCAGGCTAAAGGATCTTAGTTCTATCAGAGAACTTCCTCATGCAGGCATTAATACAAAGCAAAAAGAACACAAAGCATTAGTGGTACTTGCTTCTAGACTTGTCCTGTGCTTTCTGGTGAAAAGTATTTGTATTTCAGTGGCTTCGTTCTAACATGAACTACTGAAAGACTTCGCATATCTTCTGAGCCAACCAGGAATTATACTAAAGACAAGACCAATTTCTTTAAGGCTGTTTTGAGATTTTTGTTAAATTGGTTTACATATGAAAACATAAACATGTTTCCAGTATATATTACAGTTGATAATAAAACACATGGCATTTTTAATAGTTCTGATTCCAAACAATTGATTGGGCCAAAACTGCCAAGAGATACGTGAAAGACAAATTTCCTCCTTTTTGTCTGAAATATGAAGCTCAAACAGGACTATGGTGTTACTCTGTAAGTTTTTATATTATGTGAAACAGCTCCCCACTTCTGGTTCCCATTAAAATATAGGACTGAAGTTTCATCCCTGTCCACCATCAATTCACTTACTTTCTTGTGTACTTTTGGGGGCAGGCGGCTTTCGTGTTGCCCAGTTAGTCCTGATTTGACGACCACCTAACCACTGGCCTCCCATGTGCACAATTGCATTTTCTGCATCCTGCAAGGAAAACCAAGGATTGGTATCAAATGGAAAAGAAAGGCACTTTTAAGCAGTAAATGTTGGAGTTCAAAATCATAGAATCATAGAGTTGGAAGAAACCTCGTGGGCCATCCAGTCCAACCCCCTGCCAGGAAGCAGGAAAATCGCATCCAAAGCACCCCCGAATCGCATTCAAAAGCATGGGTTCAATTAGTTTATCCATACTCTCTCTTTACTGGATTTTGATCACTTTGGAATCTTTAGGATGGCCAACTATCTTTCTTCATGACTGCCAAGTTTTCCAGGGCGCAATTACATGAAACATCTTTGTCAACTTGGCATTGTTAGAGAATGTATGAAAACTCAAGTGAACACATTTCCATACTCGTAAGCTATTCTATCCAAAAGCTCTCCTTCTCCCATGCATGAACTGCAAAGTCAATTTCCATCTAACAACTAAAAAGTCTGTGAAGTCAGACACTACTCTGTTTTAGCCCAAAAATCAAGTGTAAGGAAGAACTCTGTGTACTTTATAAATTCATAGCCTCCAATCTGGAAACAAATTATGTACATAGTCATTATTTTCTCATTTGCTTTACTTTTAATAATGTAGTTTCTGAGTAGTTCACTGAAGAAATTAAAACTGAAGAGTGATGTTTTCCAAATATACACATGCTTAAGTATCTCACAAATATCAGACATGAGACAAACTCATTCATTTGTCCTGTTCATGCTTATTCTAATATGAAAATCTCTTTTGTGTATTATGCTATAGCTTTTTCTGTTATGTGAGGCTGTTTAATTTCTTCAGCCATGGTTTTAGACAAAGTCTGTCTCAGTGACAGTTTGAGATTACCATCTGGGTCAACTATAAAAAAGAATAAACCAAGAGTACTAAAATACATAGGAGTACTATATATATTCGAGTATAAGCCGACCTGACTATAAGCCGAGACACCTAATTTACCACCAAAAAAATCTGGGAAAACGTATTGACTTGAGTATAACCAGAGGATGGGAAATGCAGCAGGTACTGGGAGAGGAAGGCATCCCTCTAGGCACAGCAAGCCAGCTGTTCTTTCTTTCCCTTTTTTTTTCTTTTCTTGGGTGAGGGTTTTTCCTCTTCCCTCCTCATGCGTGCTTGCCTTTCTCCTCCCCTCTCTAGAGTGCCTTCTTTTCTCTTTTCTCCTTGTGTGCACTTGCTCTTCTCTTCCCCTCGCTAGAGAAGGGAAGAAAAGGCAAGAACACACAAGGAGGGAAGAGGAAAGAAGGCACTCTAGAGAGGGAAATAGAAAGGCAAGCGTGCGCAAGGAGGGAAGAGGAAAGACCCTCACGTGAGTATAAGCTGAGGGGAGTTTTTTCAGCCATAAAGGGGGCTGAAAAACTCAGCTTATACTCGAGTATATATGGTAATGCTGCAGGAAAGCGGATCAACAAAAATCTGGAAACTTTCTGCCACCACCAATGCCCCCTCCACACAACAGGAATATTTTTCACATTATCGATCTACTAAATGCAAGCAAAAATCTGAAAT